TCCTGGGTGGGGCCAGACGGTGCTGTTGGCCTGACCGGGTCCGGGAAGAGGTGTGTGGTGTGAGCAGTTCAGTGAGATACATGGGGGCCGCACCGTGCACACAGTGATGGGTGTGCAGAAGAATCTTGTACTCTATACGGGCGTGAATGGGCAGCCAGTGTAAAGTGTGAAGGATGGGAGTGATGTGCTGGTGTTTCCTCACCCTCATCAGGACCCTGGCAGCGCTGTTCTGTACATACTGGAGCTTCTGAAGGCTCCTGCCAGAGATCCCGACGAGGAGAGCGTTGCAGTAATCCAGCCTGGAGGAGACGAAGGCGTGGACGAGCTTCTCTGCAGCAGGGAGGGATAGGGAGGGACGGAGTTTAGAGATATTACGGAGGTGAAAGAAGGACGTTTTGCAGATGGAGGTGACATGATTGTCAAAGGAGAGGTGGGGGTCAAGCTTGACCCCAAGGCTTGTAACAGAGGGAGAGAGGGGAATGGTATGACCACAGAATGAAACAGAGGTGAGAGGAGAGGAACGGAGTTGATGAGGAGTACCAGTTTGGATGGCCTCTGTTTTTGAGGCATTAAGCTGCAGGAAGTTTTGATTCATCCACGCCTTTATATCCTCCAGGCAGGAGCTGAGGCGGGTGACAGAGTTGGCGGGGGAGCTGGGAGGAGTCATAACGATGTGTCTGCTGCGCCTGTCGTCTGGTGATTATGTGGCCCACTGCATTCATTAAAGCTACAGTGTGTAACTTTTAGCGACATCTAGCGGTCAGACTGCAGACTGCAGCAACATGAACATCCCCCCCCCCACCGCTTCTCCCCCCCAACAGTACGGCGAGCGTTACGGGACAAAATGTCTTCCACGACGTCCGCATCACCTACCTTCTCAAGTGATGAGGTTTGTTTACATAGATAATTTTACAGATAGTATTTCATTAGTCTGTGTAGGGTATAGATTTCATGTAGACTTAAGATAATAAATATACCCGTAATGGGCGATCTCGCAATCGCTAGTTTGTTGGCTCTGCGCTGCCGTAGCGCAAAGATGTCTGCCTCCATGGCTGCGAGACCCGCTCCTATGTAATTATAAATAACGAATTCTAAGGCAACGCAAATATTAAGGTTAAGAGGCTGAGCTCGTAGATGATGATAAATAACATAGTTATGTATAATATATTACATTTCTGACTGTATATCCCTGTAATTATTACACACTGTAGCTTTAATCTCTGCATTTAGTTTTATAGATCATCAACTGCATGTCTCAATGCCAGCACAGTCACAGGCATTACCTCGCCGCTTTGTTTCTATCTGAATCTGCACCGTGTTAGACGCAGTTCATTGCAATGAGCGCTTTATGGCATCCCTTTCTCATCGCTGCATGTGCCATGATGCCCTCTATCATCGTGGCAGGCGCTTATGGTGCCCTTCATTCATTGTGAATGAGGAAACACTGGAGCCTTGAAGTAATAAATTTAACCTGAGTAGATTTAGTGTCGCGAGCTGAACGCAGAGCGAGCCAGCTGACTGCTGATGGCTGAGACACAGAAATGCTTGGAGACGGGGAAACAGGGCGTGGCAGAGCCGCGAATCTCTGCAGCATTGCATGGATCAAGAGTTGTCTCAGAGGATGAAACCACTCTTTAGCCGGTGCAGAGGGGCCAAAGCTCACTTCGAATTGAATCAGGACATCTGAACAGACGTCTGAACTCTGCCCGCGCCCTAGGCGACTTCTTTGAGATGTGGATGGGGTCCCTTTTAAGATTAACAATAGATGCTGATTGGCCTGTGACGGAGGAGAATAGCAATTGTTTCTTAAATTGAACTTCAACCTAAGCTCCATTTAAATTTATTTTTGCCAAATGAAGTGAGATTAGCCAAGCTCTAGGATGTGATCACAGCGCTCTATTGGCAACATATTTTAGCTATCATAATCCTTTCCACAAAAACCTTTAATGCCATAAAGAGTTTTATTGTCAATACAGACATACCTGACTCCTGCTAAGTTATAGGAGCCAAGTTAGTAAAATTGCATTATAAATAGTCATTGATTTGTTACTTTTTGATCAATTCCATAAAAAGAGGATATATTTTTTATAATTTACCTTTTAATTTACATATATTGATTAATGAGTGCTGAGCTTCATTCATTTAGTCCTCAGAGCCGCAAGACCTCACCTATCTACACCTTCTCACCTATCTGCCAACAGCCTGTATGAAGAATACAGGCTGTTGTCACCTCAGGTGTGCCCCAGGGCTCTGTCCTGGGGCACACCTGAGGTGCCAACAGCCTGTATGAAGAATACAGGCTGTTGTCACCTCAGGTGTGCCCCAGGGCTCTGTCCTGGGACCCCTGCTCTTCATCATCTACCTCCTTCCCCTTGGCAATATCTAAATTTAACATCCACTTCCATTGCTATGGCGATGACACCCAGCTCTACCTCACCACGCAACCATCGTCCTCTCTTCCGCCTGCCTCCCTCATAGATTGCATCTGTGAATTAAAAGCCTGGTTCACCAACAACTTCCTTCAATTAAACAGCAGTAAAACTGAGGTTCTCCTCATTGGCACCAAATCAACTCTTTCCAAAACGGACAGTTTCCAAGTTACTATTGATAGCTCCTCCATCTCCCCCTCCCCCCAGGTTAAGAGTCTGGGTGTCATCCTCGATAGCACACTCTCTTTCCAATCCCATATAAATAACATTACCCGGTCTGCCTACTTCCACTTAAGAAACATCAACCGCCTCCGTCCCTCCCTTACCCCAGACACTACTGCCATACTTGTGCACAGCCTTGTCACCTCCCGACTAGATTACTGCAACTCCCTCCTCTTTGGACTTCCTCAGAAATCACTCCACAAACTACAACTGGTCCAGAACTCAGCTGCTCGAATCATAACAAGAACTCCCTCTATCCACCACATCACTCCGGTCCTCCGACAGCTCCACTGGCTCCCCATACAGTTCCGCATTCACTATACAAGTATCATGATGACTTTCAAGGCACTTCACCATCTTGCCCCCCCATATCTGTCAGACCTCCTGCATGTTCCCACCCCCTCCCGTGCTCTTAGATCCTCATCTGCTTTGCACCTGTCTGTCCCCTCCGCCCGTCTCACCATCATGGGGAGCAGAGCATTCAGCCGCTCTGCCCCCCGCCTCTGGAACTCTCTACCACCCCAACTTAGAAACACGGACTCAATTCTCCATTTTAAAATACAACTCAAAACTCATCTGTTTAAGATTGCGTATTCTCTTTAAATATCAATTTCACTGTCACAGCCTCTGTATTTTTTAAATGTTTTTATTTTGTTTCTGACACTGTGTTTTTTATGCTTTTTGTACGGTGACCTTGAGTGTCCAGAAAGGCGCCTTTTAAATAAAATGTATTATTATTATTCAGACTACAAGGTAGCTAAGGGAAAGGGGTTTAGCCTATAAAGGAGTGTTTGGAATGAAAAATAATAGTTCTAATAACAAGCTAGACTGTTTTTCTGGGTTTATTTCATAACATTTCATTTAGCTCAAGCTGTCTGTAGTTGTTTTAAGTAACGCTATGTGGAGACCTGCAGTCTTTTTGCAGGGTTTAAATAAGTGGGACTAACCTTTATGTCGTGTTTGTTCTCTTTCTTTGTAAAGAAGACAAAATGCCGACTGATTGAAATACATCAATGTCAGTTTATTTAGCCGGACTGTATAGTTGAAAACCTTTTTCGCACTTTTATTAAGCAGGTTTATAACCCTTGACTGTCAGTGAGAGACTGTGGAGAGAGACTATGTTTTATATTTTAGTTATACTTTTCAATTATTTCTGTGACTACAACATTAACTACTTTCTATTCTATTTGTGTTATATGATGTTTTGCTTGTTTATTTACTTTTTTCATGTTTTGTGGCGACTAAGGAAACACTTCAGATGGTTTCATATAGAAAGTTGGCACCACATAAAAGATAAACGAGTGCATCACAGGAGACAGGACACTTTACTCTTTTGGGGAGGTTTGGTTTTCACATGACAAACGGAATGGATCGCTCTTCATGTATAGCATAGGCCACATATGCACACACGTAGTTATTAGTGAGTTGGTTTTCTAGACCACCTCAAAGAGGGCATCTAGATTTGTTTATTTGAAGGATTTTGTTAAACATGAAAGGAATAAATTCTGTTAATACTTAAAGATGTTTTCTTTCTCTTTGTACACTTTCTGATGGTGCCTTCAAACCAGAAGCAAACTCTGCTATATCTTCACCAAGTTTGTGCTTTTATTCGACTTGAAATTCACCTGGCCAACAAAAGTTATTCGTAAGAAAGTCGAATTTGCCCAGGGGAGCGAAAGGCTCCTATATCATCCAGTCTGCTGATTACTGACTTCCAAAATGGCAGATATTGATTTCTTGGAGCAAATTGCAGTGCTTATTGTACTTTTAAAAGCCGAACGAAACTTTCAGCACAGACGTTCTCCTCAGTATGCAGTCGTTCCTCCAGAGTCCTCTCAACTCAGGGTTCAGACCAAGAAGCAGAGTCCGAGTTTAACACACGTCTTTGCAGCTTCTCTTCCCAGACAGTGTCTTGCCCTTGACCAAAATCTAATAAATTAGAAAAGAATCCCAAAGGAGTAAATCCTGATAATCTAATTACAATTAAAAGAACTAAATTGGGGAAAAAGTTTAAACGATTAAATGTGTTTTGTTTAACATAAGATCACTTTGTTCAAAAATTGTCTTGCCTTCTTTCATCCACAGTAAACATTATGAAACGTCTATAATAGAAAAACATTCTGATGAAGGTTGATGTGATTTGATAAGCAGGTTAAATAAAGCAAGAAGATCAATTTCTTGCTCAAGCTGTACTTTGTAGCTTGCCCTGATACAACCCTCCACTGCCAGGTTAAATACACTGAAACACAAACAGTCATATGAATAAACTAGGACACCTTGTAAATGTTTGTCTATGTCAGGGTACATTGATGTTGTTGGGATCTGGAGCTGTACCACCTGTCTCCGGCAGAGTTCGCTGTGGATCCTCCTGAGCTGAGCCTTCGACACACCTGAAGCCCATCTCGTCATCAGGAGGATCCTCCACCATATAAGCAGCCCTCAGACCTCGCATCAACGCCGCAGTGTTTATCCAGTTTGGTTAGCACCTGAGCCTCACTACCTCTGTGAAATCTTTGTTGCTTCTAGTCTCCTAGTTGGATTCTAATTCCCTTTTTGTCTCTGCCTACAGGAAACCTGTTTTTGTCCTGTAAGCTCTGGATGAGCTTAACCTGTCGAGCCTGCCCTCTGAGCCAAACCTGAAGACCCTTCTCTGGATTCCCATGCTGCTCTGGACTAAGAGCTGGAATACCAAGGTCTGTCCAAACGTTAGATGCAAGACGCTGAAGCTGAAACAGAACTCTGCTGAATTAAACAGTCTCTGGACCCAACAGTGCCTCTCTCAAAGCCAAACCCGGATTCTTCAAGGTAGATCTCAGTTCAATTCAATTCAGTTTATTTATATAGCGCCAAATTCACAACACATGTCATCTCAAGGCACTTTACAGTTCAACCAGATCATACAGTCAAATTGATACAAAGTTTTCTATCTAAGGAAAACCAGTTGATTGCATTGACTCATTGACTCAAATACAATCCCCCACACTAAGCATGCTTGTAGCGACAGTGGAGAGGAAAAACTCCCTTTTAACAGGAAGAAACCTCCAGCAGAACCAGGCTCAGAAGAAAACAATTCCACATTCATCTGCTACGTGGCTAACTGAACTGTCTCCCTTACAGTATCCTGTGAACCAGTTCCCCAGAAGTGAACCAGTACCTGACATATTTCCGTGTGCTTGTGTACAATAAACATTGTTGAACTTTTACTCCAGTTTCCGTCTCCGTGGTGTTCTGCATATTGGGCCTCTCTGAACCAATCATGACAGAACACTGCGGCCAAACACAAGGCCCAGCAGACCATCTCCAGTGCCATTTGGAGGAGCGAGATGCTCAGATTTATGGGAACACCCAAGCTCTATGTGAGTTAAACACCTACATTGAAAGGCAAAATCAAATGATTCAAAGCCTCGCTAACAGTTTGAGCAATGCTAACGCCACGCCGCTAGCACAACCATTTCCGGGTCCAGTTCCTCCTCCAAGGTCACCAGCGGTGACGTCATCATCAGAGTTCCGACCTAGCCTCCCTGAAAAGTTTTCAGGTAACATTAGTGACTGTAAAGGATTTTTATTTCAATGTCGATTAATCGTCAAAAATTCCCCTGGCAGTTTTCCTACTGATTACAAGAAAATATCATTTATTTTGTCTCAATTGACCGGAAGAGCCCTGGAATGGGCGCAGGCTAGGTTTTCTTCTGACGAGAGCCTTAGTTGCCAATACTCCGACTTTATTTCTGAGTTTTCACAAGTCTTCAACCAGGAAACAGATCAAACTGTTGATTCTCGAGCTCTTTTGAAACTAAGAGAAGGAAATTCTTCTGTAGCTGAATTCTCCATTAACTTCCGGGTTAAAGCCGCAGCTTCCAGTTGGAACCAATGTGCTCTAAAGACTGCATTTTTTGAAGCTCTCAACGAAAACATAAAAGATGAACTTGCAACCCTCGACGAACCCGCCACTCTCGAGGAATTAATCCGCCTGACAATCAGGCTGGATAATAGGATTCGAGCCAGAAATAGCTCTAAACCAAGGAATCATGGCCCTTTAAATTCTGTTTCTGCCTCTAACAATGCTCCTGCCTTCTCCTCTTCCACAGAACCTTTTTCTCAGCCAAGATCTAAGATCCAATCTCTCTCGTTGCCAGTTCAGGCCTCTCATGCGGTTGAAATGGAGGCCGAACCCATCCAGGTTGGACATACAAGGCTAACTCCAGAGGAAAGGCTAAGGCGTGTCAGGAGCAAGCTGTGCATCTACTGTGGTCAGAGTGCCCATTTCATTGCCTCATGCCCAGCTAAATCAAAAGCCGGGGCCTGTCAGAGGATCTGAGGAGTCTGACGGGCCATGTTATTTCTGAGAAATCTCCTCGCCTATTACTCCCAGCCACGTTGTTTTTTGCTGATCAAAACCTCACTTTATCTGCATTCATCGATTCAGGCTGTGAAAGGAACCTAATTGACTCCAATTTGGTTGAACAACTACAGATTGAAACTGTTCCTCTCACCCAGCCTCTCTGTGTCTCCGCGATCGATGGAAAGAAGCTTCACCAAGTTACCCACCAAACACAACCCCTCGAGCTGTTGGTCTCAGGTAACCATCGAGAAACCTTATCTTTCTTTGTTTTTCCCTCTGCATGTTCTCCATTGGTTTTGGGATTCGAGTGGCTGGAACGACATAACCCCCACATAAACTGGACTGATCGCCATGTTGAGTCTTGGTCGACCTCATGCCATGAGACGTGTCTTCGTTCAGCGGGCCCCGCTGTAAGATCTCCTAGGGGTGGGGGGGAGATGGACTCTCCTGACCTTACTTCTGTTCCTCCAGAGTACCATGATCTAGCTCCTGTCTTCAGTAAGGTTTGTGCTACGTCCCTTCCACCTCACAGACCATATGACTGTGCTATCGAGCTATTACCAGGAGCTCCTCTACCCGGCAGTAGACTTTATAATATCTCCAAACCCGAACGGGAGACAATGGAAAAATATATAAATGAGTCACTAGCTGCTGGAATAATCCGCCCCTCTTCATCTCCGTTAGGAGCAGGCTTCTTTTTTGTGGGTAAAAAGGATGGATCACTTAGACCATGCATCGACTACAGAGGTTTGAACCAAATCACTGTTAAGAATAAGTACCCACTTCCTCTACTCGCTTCTGCATTCGAACCAGTTCAAGGCGCCACTGTCTTTACTAAGCTCGACTTAAGGAACGCCTATCACCTTCTCAGAATCAGAGATGGCGATGAATGGAAGACTGCCTTTAAGACCCCTCTGGGTCAAATTGAGTATTTAGTCATGCCCTTTGGTCTCACAAACGCTCCTGCGTGTTTTCAAGCCTTAGTCAACGACGTTCTCAGAGATTTTTTGAACGTGTTTGTTTTTGTCTACATTGATGACATTCTCATTTACTCCAAGGACCTCACAGAACACAAGAAACATGTCCGCCTGGTCTTACAAAGACTCCTAGAGAATAAACTTTTCGTCAAAGCCGAAAAATGCGAGTTTCACCAACCTTCAGTCACCTTTTTGGGGTTTGTGCTCGAGGGCGGACAGGTTAAGCCATCTGAGGATAAGATAAAGGCAGTTTTGGAGTGGCCGGTTCCCGAAAACCGCAAACAGCTGCAGAGATTCCTGGGTTTTGCTAACTTTTATCGACGATTCATCAGGAATTATAGTCAGACAGCTCTTCCTCTAACTTCTCTTACTTCAGTCAAAAGAACCTTCCAATGGTCCCCCGAGGCACAAACTGCCTTTGACAAACTAAAGATGTTGTTTTCCAGAGCTCCAGTGTTAATCCAGCCTGATTCATCAAAACAATTCATCCTCGAAGTCGACGCTTCCGACTCAGGAGTTGGTGCTGTCTTATCTCAGAGACTCGATTCAGACCAAAGAGTTCACCAATGTGCTTTCTTCTCCCGTAGACTTTCCTCTGCTGAGCAAAATTACGAAGTTGGTGACCGCGAACTACTGGCCATCAAATTGGCATTAGAGGAGTGGAGACACTGGCTTGAGGGGGCAGAACACCCGGTTCTTGTTTGGACAGATCATAAGAACCTTGCCTATATCCAATCCGCCAAACAGGCCAATCCTCGACAGTCAAGGTGGTCACTATTTTTCTCTCGATTCAATGTCATCATCTCTTACAGACCCGGATCCAAAAACATCAAACCCGATTCTCTCTCTCGTCTTTATTCCACTGATCAATCCGAGACGCCTGAACCTGTTCTACCCGCTTCCTGCACTGTTGGGGTGGTTACCTGGGAGATCACTGACCTAATAAATTCTGCCCTGGCTTCAGAACCTGACCCAGGTAACGGTCCCCCAAACAAATCTTATGTTCCTTCTTCAGTCAGGTCTCGCCTAATTCAGTGGATGCACAATGCCAAATTTTCCGCTCATCCGGGGGTGAGTAGAACCATCAACCTCATTTCAAGACGTTTCTGGTGGCCCACCCTGCACAGAGATGTTAAGGAGTATGTGCTGGCCTGTTCTACCTGCGCCAGAAACAAGTCCACACATCAACCTCCTTCTGGCCTGTTGCATCCACTTCCTATTCCTTCTCGTCCCTGGTCTCACATCGCAATTGACTTCGTTACTGGTCTTCCCATTTCTCGAAGTATGTCCACAATTCTCACCATTGTTGACCGATTTTCCAAGTCCTGCCATCTTGTTCCCCTCAGGAAGCTTCCCACGGCTTTTCAGACCGCCCAGCTCCTTATAAAACACGTTTTCCGTCTACATGGCATCCCTCAGGAGATTCTTTCCGACCGAGGACCACAATTTATCTCTCAGGTTTGGAAGGCCTTTTGCTCAGCCCTTAACTGCAAATCATCTCTCACCTCAGGTTATCACCCACAGTCCAATGGCCAAACGGAAAGAATGAATCAACAGCTCGAATCCTCCCTTCGTTGTCTGACCTCCAGTAATCCCACCGACTGGAGCCAACACCTCCCATGGATCGAATATGCTCACAACTCTCTAAAATCAGCTTCCACCGGCCAGTCTCCGTTCCAGGTCAGTCTTGGTTACCAACCTCCACTTTTCCCCTCAGACGAGAGAGAGATTTCGGTCAAATCAGTCAACCACCACATCCGCCGCAGTCATCGCATCTGGAGAGACACCATAGCCACCCTCAACCGTTCCATGGAAACCACTAAACGTTTCGCCGACTCCAAAAGACGCCCTGCTCCAGTTTACTCTGTCGGTCAGGAGGTATGGCTCTCCACTCGGGACATTCCCCTCAAGGGGATGTCCCGTAAACTCTCTCCCAGATTCATTGGCCCCTACAGGATTTCCCAGGTCATTAACCCATCAGCCATTCGACTGCAACTTCCTCCGACTCTTCGCATTCATCCCACATTCCACGTCTCACAGATCAGGCCTGTGATCTCCAGCCCTTTGTGCCCTCCGTCCGACTCCCCTCCACCAGCCCTGGAAGTCGATGGTTATCTGGCTTTCACCGTCCGCCGGATCGTGGACTCCCGTCGGTGAGGTCGTGGCTGGCAGTACCTCGTCGACTGGCAGGGCTACGGTCCGGAGGATCGCCAGTGGGTTCCTGGTTCCTACATCCTTGACCCGTCCCTCATCGAGGAGTACGAGCGATCCCTCCCATCGACGTCTTCTGGACCGCCAAGAGGCGGTCGTTGAGGGGGGGGGTACTGTTGGGATCTGGAGCTGTACCACCTGTCTCCGGCAGAGTTTGCTGTGGATCCTCCTGAGCTGAGCCTTCGACACACCTGAAGCCCATCTCGTCATCAGGAGGATCCTCCACCATATAAGCAGCCCTCAGACCTCGCATCAACGCTGCAGTGTTTATCCAGTTTGGTTAGCACCTGAGCCTCACTACCTCTGTGAAATCTTTGTTGCTTCTAGTCTCCTAGTTGGATTCTAATTCCCTTTTTGTCTCTGCCTACAGGAAACCGGTTTTTGTCCTGTAAGCTCTGGATGAGCCTGCCCTCTGAGCCAAACCTGAAGACCCTTCTCTGGATTCCCATGCTGCTCTGGACTAAGAGCTGGAATACCAAGGTCTGTCCAAACGTTAGATGCAAGACGCTGAAGCTGAAACAGAACTCTGCTGAATTAAACAGTCTCTGGACCCAACAGTGCCTCTCTCAAAGCCAAACCCGGATTCTTCAAGGTAGATCTCAGAAGAAAACAATTCCACATTCATCTGCTACGTGGCTAACTGAACTGTCTCCCTTACAGTATCCTGTGAACCAGTTCCCCAGAAGTGAACCAGTACCTGACATATTTCCGTGTGCTTGTGTACAATAAACATTGTTGAACTTTTACTCCAGTTTCCGTCTCCGTGGTGTTCTGCATATTGGGCCTCTCTGAACCAATCATGACAGATGTAGGTCTAACATTGTGTTTCAGATCGCACAAAACTCATGCAAATTTTCACAGCACATCTTGATGTCCTCTTTTCATGGGTCCTTAGTTGGGGTTTAATTTACTGATTTTCTATCATCCAGAACATAATCTACTGTATTTTGTGATTTTTACAATAAAACTTTTATAGAGAGTAAATAGGATAAATTAATATATAATTAAAAGAGAAATAAAAATTTTCTGACAACACATGCCACTTTATTTTGTTTCATTGAAGACATTGCAAATTGTTGAAATACCAAAGCAAAAAAAAAAACAAGTGTCTCCTGTTTTTAGCAGGAAGCAAAATAGCCTCTATGCCCGAAAAAAATAAATAAAAAAAACTTCCTGCACTAGAGAAAAGGAGGCAGCTTATTTCAGCAGCTCCCTTTATTTTACCAGAGTTTTTACTATTTCGATTCAATTCAGTTTATTTATATAGTGCCAAATTCACAACGCATGTCATCTCAAGGCACTTTACAGTTCAACCAGATCATCCAGTCAAATTGATACAAAGTTTCTATCTAAGGAAAACCAGCCATCGACTCATTGACTCTTCAGCAATCCCTCACACTAAGCATGCTTGTAGCGACAGTGGAGAGGAAAAACTCCCTTTTAACAGGAAGAAACCTCCAGCAGAACCAGGCTCAGTGTGAGCAGCCATCTGCCGAGGCCAACTGGGGTTCAAGGAGACAGAAGCAGAGACACAAACTACTTTTATGTACCTTTAATTATTTTTTGTTTTTGGTGGGACTGTTTTGGCTGTCTTTGAGTGTGGAGCCCACGTGTTTGAACAAGAACCAACTGCTATTGTTTACACCTGGGACCAGCTTCTCGCCCTACAGAGCTCTGCTGTACTGCCACCCACGGGGTCAGCCCATGTCCCCCGCAAACTGAGCAGGAAGAGATGTGGCAGCCGTGCGGGAGTCGGACAATACTTGCAGCAGACATGGGCAATGTGGAGTCAACAAGTCATCTCCATGTCATGTATTTGTTCTACCCAGCCACTGAAGCAGGTAAGTCCAATCTTCACCGTGAATTAACCTGTGCAGATTGGACTCACCTGGTTAATTGTCTGGGTAGATTAAATACATGACATGGAGATGGCTTGTTGACTCCATATTGCCCATGTCTGACTTGCGGTGAAGGAGGTACAGTCCAGCCGTCCCATCCGTCATCATGGGCAACATCAGATCTCTCTCTCACAAAGTGGACAAGCTGGCGGTTTGAACTCGACCTCAAAGACGGTGCTGCGAGTCTAGCATCCTATGCCTGACTGAGATGTGGCTAGCCACACTACCTCCACTGCAGCTTGCCTACCGTCCTGGGATTGGGGCAGATGATGCCATCATCTTCTTCCTGCTCTAAGCTCTGACTCACCTAAAGAAACCTGGAAGCACTGAGAGGATCGTCCCAGTGGATTCTGGACTACCTCACTGGTTCCCACAGTATGTGAGGGCACAGGGTTGTGTCTCAGATAGATTGGTTTTCGGTATGGGGGTCCCACAGACAACAGTGCTGCCACTGTTCCTCTTCACCGTCTGCCACCTACATAAGTTATCTGATGACTCTGCCATAGTAGCCTCATCTTGCTGGTGCTTTATAATTTTTCACACTGTGGGAACATATTTCAAGGCCTTATACATATTTAGCAACACATAGAGAAAATAGTAGACAGGGTCTTTGAACCCTAGCACACAATTCAATTCAGTTTATTTATATAGCGCCAAATTCACAACACATGTCCTCTCAAGGCACTTTACAGTTCAACCAGATCATCCAAATTGATACAAAGTTTTCTATCTAAGGAAACCCAGCTGATTACATCGACTCATTGACTCAAATACAATCCCTCACACTAAGCATGCTTGTAGCGACAGTGGAGAGGAAAAACTCCCTTTGAACAGGAAGAAACCTCCAGCAGAACCAGGCTCAGTGTGAGCGGCCATCTGCTGAGGCCCACTGGGGTTCAAGGAGGCAGAAGCAGACATAGAAAAAGAAGCATAGATACAAAAGGCAACTGTCAACCAGCTCCACAGGCGGCCCCGTCCAGGAAACACACAGCCAGGCAGACGAGCTCCGAGCCAGCTCCCATGTCAGAGGATGAAGAGAGCACATCCACCCAGTCACAGGACCACACTGGAAAACGGCCGATCACACAGAAATCTCTTTTGGCAGTAAGAGGTAAGGAAGCCTCTTTTTTTTGTCCATAATTGGCCATACGGGCTGTAGGACAAGTACGCCAAGTGATCTTGAAGAGCATGCAACACATATTTCCACATTTAATCCTGCGTGTGCATATTCATGCACAGCTACAGCAATCAGAGCCAAAAACAGACACATATATTTCACACACACTCACACACCATAGTAAAGGTTGGGTATACATATACTGAGACAGGTGCGCCATATTCGGGGGGGAAAACTAAGACGTCTGATGATGATGATGATGATGATGAGCGCTGAACTTATGAAGTGTTTGGAATTCGATTAATCAATAAATGTTTTCCCGCCTCCGGTGGACAAAATTGAGTGAATTGTGTTTCCTTGATTTTTGAGAATCTACCACTTTGAGCCTCCACATTCTTAGGTGAGAACGACTCAGAGAACAGACAGCAGACCCAGGACTTCGTAGACTGGTCCCAGCAGAACCACCTTCTGGTTAATGAAGGGCAAACCAGGGAGCTAGTGGTGGACTTTCACATGGTAATCCAATGTCACCGCTGTCTCAGGGCCACAGAAACATTTTATGGTCTCGCCGCCAGCACTTACTTGGACATCAGATTAAAAAACCTAGGGTTCCATGACTTATGAAATGTGGAGCCTGTGAAAGCTCAACTTATAACAGAAATGCAATCAATACATCAGATCTCAAAAGCACCTCTGCTTCAACTGCCACAAGCTCTGCCTCCAGCTCTACCACAGCTTCTTCACCTTCTACATATGCAGCAAAAAGTGGGATTTGGACAAATTTGACTCTGAAGTCCTTTTTTCTCAGCGTCATCGGAAATCAAGTACTGATGCACTAATTGAAATGCGCAGATACACTGAAGGAAGGCCCATCCCAAGGGATCAGGATCCACTACTTTGCTGGAAAAACAACACATCGACATTCCCCTGTCTGAGCAAACTTGCAAAGAGATATTTAGGAGTTGTTGCAGCCTCAGTGCCAGCTGAGAGGATATTTTCAAAGGCAGGAGAGCTACTGAGCATCAAGCGATGTTCACTGAAACCAAAAAATGTGAACATTACACTGTTCTTGAACAAAAACCTCTAAGCAAATCCTTTGTTCTCAACTGTGGGAGAGGCCCTACAGCCTTGTGAGACCATCCTGATCTCGCGAGCTTTCAAGATTTCACTCGCAGATCAGTCCGGAGACTAGAGTCCTGCACGGGTCTAGTTTTACCAACCTGCACCCGCCCGAACCCATTAGGATGACTACCGAACCCGACCCGTCACCCGCGGATATCTTCAATTCAAATCCGAACCCGACCCGTCACCCGCGGATATCTTCAATTCAAATTCGAACCCGACCCGACTCGTTGATATTTAACCCGCAACCCGACCCGTTAACACATCCAGTAATAGGCTATAGTGCGCTGCGCTGCAGAACAGCGCCATTAACACTGCAGCAGATGTGTATGCACTGACTGTGGCCTTTTTGGAGGGAAGCCCACACTGCCGGCAGGGCTTTAAGCTACAGCAAGGGGGACCCCAGTGCCTGATTAATAGAACATTTCGGATGTCCATAACAATAGACACGCATAAAAAAAAAAAAAATCACCAACTACCCGCCCGCACTAAAGAAATATCCGCATTTTAGCGGGTGACCCGCGGGTACCCGACCCGTTGCAGGACTCTACTGGAGACTCTCCACCAAACGAACGTCCAATCAGCGTTGGCTTTGAGGCGGGTTGAGGTGTGACGCAACGAGAAGCGCGACAGTTCAGTCTAAAGAACATGGCGGCTTCAGCCGCTGAAACTAGCGTTAGCGTGGCTATCGAGCAAGTTTTATGGGAATTACAGAGTATTTCTTTACTGAAAGAAGAGCAAAACACTGCTCTGGAGGCTTTTCTCAGAGGAAAAGATGTTTTTGCTCTTCTCCCGACTGGTTTCGGCAAGAGTTTGATCTATCAATTGGCTCCTCTTCGTCGTCGCTCTGTTAGTACGTCATATGCTTCGTTGATCTGATTGGTTTATTTGGCCCGTCTATCACCAACATAGGCCAATCAGCTAACCAGTATTTTCGCCTCTTCCCAAAATTACTTCAACGGAAGGTTTCCAGATGGATATGCGGAGCAAATCCATCTGGCGGAGTCAGGTTACCACACTGTGGCTTCAGTAAATTATTCTTTGACCTTATACTTTCATTATTTATACTTTATTTCATTTGTACTTATCTTTTTAAATTTGTTTAAGGCCAAAAATCAGTGCACCAAAGGTTGAAACTGTCTA